CAAGGGCAACCCCGGGCGGACGGACGGATGGACAGGCTGGCTGAGGGACGAGGGTGACCTCCTGCTCAGGCCATCATGGGGTGAGGCTCTTCCGGTGGGTGGCCCGTGTCCACCACCCAAGGTGTCCCAGATAGCAGCCCTCCAACCCCCAGGCCCATCACAGGGACGGCGGAAACCTGCCTGTCGGAGCAGCCTTCCTGGACGCCGATGATGTACATGTCCTGGGCAAGGTCGGCCCCGGCGGGCAGCAGCAGCTCGTCCAGGTTCCCAGGGAGCTCCTGAGGGGCATGGGGGGGATGGGGGGGGCATGGGGGTGAGACGCCCCGTGGCTGCATGAGGGGTCCTGGATGGAAGGAGGGGTGGCCCCGGATGGCGGTGGGCAGAGGGCGGGTGGTCCTACCTTCTGGCCTTGCATGTTCCAGGTGGCAACGAAGATGGCCGCGCTGCGGTCTGGGAAGTAACGCGCCAGCTCCTCTGCCCCCAGCAGGGCCCCGCTGGCCAGCAGGCTGCCCTCCAGGTAACTTCTGTGGGAGGAGGCGGGGGTGACTGAGTGCCCGGAAGCCCCACCCACCTGAGGGAGGGGAGAGAACACAGCCACACCACTGGGAGCCACCTACCCCCAAAGCCATGAGGCTGACCGACCGGCTGCAGCCACCTTCCTCCTGGTGTGGGGATGCCTGGGTCACACGGCCTGTGCTGTGCTGCCCGCAGCCTGGACCGCTGGCTCTTATGCTGCCCGCAGAGGCCTGCCCCCGTGGACGCCCTGCTCCGCTCCCCAGATGGTTCCCACTAGCTCTGGGTCATGAGGGGGCGAGATGTGCCCTCGGTCAGCGGCCCCACTCCACAGGACATGCTCCCGGGCTTGTCCCTGGCGACCAGCACACCCGCTGGACAATGATGCCAGGGCTTTCTGGTGCGTCATCCCCCACCTCCCACAATGCTTAGCAATGTCAAAACTGTGTGAATCGGGGGCGCCCAGAGTCAGTGGGGGCCCCTCCCCATCACAGAGCCACCCCGAGTTGGGGGAGGGATGTTTCCATCTACCACCCCGGCCAGGGCCCATCCTTCCTTGGCCTCGCCTGCATCCACAGCAGCCGCACGGGCAGATGGGCAGGGCCAGGCTCTCTGCTCTGGGTCAAGAATGCCCTGGAGGAGCGCTGGCCTTAATGCCACAGGGAGACACTGTCATATGTCCGCCCTGCAACAGTGGTGGAGTAGGAGGGGGTCGGATAGACCCCCCAGGCCGCCTGGGTGGGGGCGTGCAAGTAGGCCCGACAGAGCACAGCCGAGAACGTGGCGGCTCACATACATGCGGGGCAAAGGTAGGGCAACTGATTACGGCGTGCGTGGCCAGGCATCTCGAGGGAACGAGTCGCTGGGCCTGGGACATCATTCATAGACAACTGGGCGAACAGCACTGGGGTCTGGGGCTCACTTGTGAGCAGCCGTCTAAGGGGCCTGTTGGTGTCCCCTTGTCCGGAGGAGACCAGAGGCCCTAGATGGTGCCCAGCACTACTCCCAGCTACTCTGAAGGAAGCACAGGAGCAGGTGCTGGGCAGAGAAACATAGGGTAAAACTCAACCCCCGACACGTGACCAAGCGGACTGGTCAGATAGAAACTGGTGGGCCCCGAAGGCTGGGTCCTTCCCCCCACCCAACACCCACACCTCCAGGCTGGGCTGGCCCTGCAGTCTAATTTTCAGCCAAACCATAGGGTGCCCAATGAGTGAGAGGCAGGCACACCTTGGGGCCACCAGCCAGTCAGGACCCCCAGGGCGGCGTGTGCAGGGTTGGGGAAGAGGAGCAGGTGGGATGGCCACCAGGGGACAAAGCTGAGTCTAAACTGCTGCCTGGGAAGCAGGTGGGCTCTGCCGTCCGCCTGCATCAGCCAGTCAGAGCCTAAGCTCCTCTCTGCGCTTGGGGGGCAGCTGAGAGAAACCCATCACGTGGAGAGACGCAGCGGCCACCCTCACCAGCATGCTGCGAGCTCAGTTCACTGGGGTCTCGCATGAAGCTGGGACCCCTAGACCTCCCGAGGGAACGCTCCCACCCACCCGGCTGCTCAGCTTGTCACCTGTGTCATCCTCACCTGGGCCAGTTCAGGTGCTGGCAGCCTCCACAGTACCTGTGCAGACGCGCCCTTCACCCGAGAGGCTTCCTGGCCTGCTCCCGCCCCTCCCACTCACAGCCACCCCCCAGAGGGCTGCTCCTGTGGGATTCCGAGATGGTGACTCCTTCAGCAGTGCTGGGGACTGGGGCTGGGGGCAGAGCGGTGGGCGTGGCCAAAGGCGGGTGGGCGGGGTGGCACCCCTGTGCATTCTGCCTCAGTGTCTGCCAGACTGCTCCAGGCCCACTGAGCACGGCAGCGCGCTGCGTCCCCAGGAGGAACTGAGAGGTCAGGAAGTCCACCGGATGGAATGTGGGAGCCTCTCTGGGGGCAGGGGGGCCTGAAGTCATGGAGGGGGTCCTCTGCCTGGCTGTCAAGGGTGTAGTCCAACCGCTGGTTTAGCGGGGCGTGGCACTCACTCTGGTAAGTCAAAGTGGGCTCCTGGGAGCCCCCTGGCTACATCCTGACCCCTGGACCTTGGCCGGGAAAAGTCCCTGCAGCCATGATTCCGGGTGGGGGCCTCATGGTGTGGTGGGCTGTGAGCCCTGGGTGGCCCTAGGCCAGGGACAAGCCAAGTGACAAGCACAAGGCTGGAGCAGCACGGCACACCTGCCCACACCTGGACCTCCACCTCCAGAGGAGCCTGGGACACGCTGCTCCCTGGTGGCTGCACTCTCCCACTGCAGCTGCAGAAAGCCGGCACCCAGTGGAGTCTGACCCACAGGGCAGAGCTGTTCCCTTAGGGCCACAGACGAAAACGCACTGCGGCCCAGCAGCTTTGTCTTTCTCCCTGAGAAGTTGGTGGGTTCAAACTGCTAACAAGGGGGTGGGGGGGCAGAGGCAGGGAGAGAAGGGGTTTGCCATGAAACACCCTCTCTTGGCCCGTCAGGGAGAACCCACTCCTGGCGTGTGCACACACACACCCCCGCCCCCAGAGGGCCAGCAGGTAGCGAGGAGGGCTGGAGCACGTCCCAGGGGCCAGGCTGCTAGACGGGCGAGGAGTTGACTGAGGGGCCTGGGCCAATGTGAAGAGGGTGGACAGGACCGGCACTTGGATTCGGGTTGTGGGGAAATGGAGGGGACTCCTCGGGAGGGGGGCAGGCTCGGGAGGAAGAAGTGGGTGGTGTGGGCAGGTGGCCCTCAAGAACTCTCTATAGTTCTCGAGGAGGGCCAGGAGAGCACACTGGGGTGGGAGGTCAGGGCTGTCACCTCTGGGTGAGGTCCCTGCAGGGCCAGATGAAAAACATGCAGCGTGTGTGGGGGCGGGACGGTCACTCTCCCCTCCTTGTCCTGGGGTAACCCACACTCCACTGCTGGCCACAATAGCCGAGGAAAGTCCATGAGCTCACGCTGCACAAGCCAACGCCCGGTGCCACGCCCATGCCCAGCACAGAAGGGGGCAGGTTATTCTGGGGTGGACTGACTCCATGCCCCTCGTGGAGGTGTGGTGGCCTACCTGCTGCGCACATCCTTGGCACGGATGGGCGCCAGGAGACTGAAGGTGGACCTTGCTGAATGCAGGGAGCAGCTGTCGCAGGCCAGGGGGCTGCGCGGCCAGCTGGGGCCCAGGCTGCTGTGGGCTCGGACCAGCTTCTTCTGCACCCGACGTCGGAAATCCTCGTGGTCGGGGCCTCCCGTGCTGGCTGTCCTCAGAGAGTCTGCGGACATGCTCAGGGCCACAGCAGGCAGCGGGCGGGGGGGCAGCATGCTGGCCAGCCTGGGGGTGCTGCGCGGCCAGCTGGGGCCCAGGCTGCTGTGGGCTCGGACCAGCTTCTTCTGCACCCGACGTCGGAAATCCTCGTGGTCGGGGCCCCCCGTGCTGGCTGTCCTCAGAGAGTCTGCGGACATGCTCAGGGCCACAGCAGGCAGCGGGCGGGGGGGCAGCATGCTGGCCAGCCTGGGGGTGCTCACCGCCACAGCAGGCTCTCTGTGCAACAGGTCCAGGGACGTGCTGGCCATGCCCGACAGGCAGTTGCCCCACGAGGAAGGGCTGCCTGGGGCCCGGTGCGACTTGGGGATCTCTTGCAAAGACGTGCTCAGGCAGGGCGGTGAGCTGCTGCGGGCGGGGGCCTTGGGGCCACTCCTGAGGGGCCCCTGGTCCTGCTCCAGGCCCTCCTGGCTGGCTTGGGAGCGGCGGCGCCTCCAGCCCTTCTCATCCAGGGATAGGGCGCGCTCCAGCCTGGGTCTGGCGGGCGGTATTGGGGTGAGGGCCTGGGCCACCACCTGTGTGTCCTTAGTTGGGAGCTCTAGGCTCCTCTCAGGGCCCCCAATGGGGGCACGGGCTTTGTCTCTAGGTGGCAGCTGCCCCTTGAGCATGGTGCCTCCGGGCTGGGGCGGCCCCTCCACGGGGGGCAAGGACACCGAGGTGGACGGCATGGTCAGATGCCTACGTGCCTGGGCAGCCCAGTCTCCAGGTGGGGGCGACTTGGTGGGTGGGCCCAGGGCTCCCTCTCCAACCTGCAGTGGTCCCTAAGGCTCAGGGTCAGCTGCATGGCCGGGGGTCCTCAAGTGCCAGCTCACTGTCACCTACAGACACCTGAGGAGAGAGTGCATGGCCGGGGCTCCATGGAGCATGTTCCAGGAGGACATGGGCAGGTGACTGTCCCCCGGGGATGGGGCAGAGAGGCTCCAAGAAGGGCCCACACAAGCAGATCTGGCCACAGCTTCCTTACACCTGTCAGAGAGGAAGGTGCACTCAGCACTATGGACACAGCCCAGTGAAGGCCCAGGGCCGGCAGAGGTCATAGAGACCAGGGACCAGAGGGGTCAGGGTCAGAGGAGTCAGGGACAGGGCAGCCAGGGACCAGACCCCCTTGGAGTCAGGCAGAGAACCTGGTCCTGCTGGCAGGTGGGCAGGCACCCTCCACCTGCGCACTCAACAGCATGGCTGCTGGCAGATCACGGCCTCCCTGCCTCCGTAGCAGGGCGACCCTGGCTATTAGCCTGGACAAAGTGCGGTGCAGCAAAGGCCGCGGAGTCCAGCCCAGACCCGAAAGGTGGCTGCGGAGAATAAACCTCCACATGGGCCCAGCCGGCTGCCCGTGTCTCCGCCCCTTCCAGGCCCCAAACCTTCAGCCCGCCCAAGACCCCACGCCCTCCCCGGCCCGACACCCCCTTCCGTCCCGGCCGTGACCGCCTAGCTCCTCCGCCTGCATCTTCCGAGCCCGCCCCCACGCTGACCCCAAACCTCGGCCCGCGTCCTTGGCCTCCACCCGTGACCCTGGACCCGCGTCTCTTCCCGCCCTCCGCCCGCGGCCTGCCCCGCCGTGACCCGCAGCCCTCCGCCGGCGGCCTCGCCCACCTCCGTGACCCCGAGCCCCTGCGCCCGCGGCCTTGGCCTCCACCCGTGACGCTGCCCACGTCCCTGCCCCTCCGGTGACCCGGCCCCCACTCCCAGGAGCTCTTCCCGCCCGCCGCCGTGCCCGAACCCCTTCGCCTGCGTCCCTGCCCCCGAGCCGTAGCCCCGCCCGCTCTGCGGCCCCCAGGCCGCGCCCGTGACCTCGCAGCACCCTCGGTA